AGTTTGGTGATTACGTGTCTATTTCTACTTGTGAAAAATTTGATGCCAACTTTCGAATTCGAAAACTTGTCTCTGTATTTGTTTATACTGAATCAAATTATCAAACAACCGGAAAATTCTGAAGATGACAGCCGATATCGAGAGTGCAAGCTCAAAGCCTCAGAAGGTTCCATGGCTCCTTGAATATCGATCCTCTGACTGGTTTATTCTTACCACAGTGTGCTGTGCCATCTTCACAGTAAGCTTGTCAAATGATCATCCATACTGTCTTTGATATCTAACGTGACTTAGGATGCTTTCCTCTATGGTGTCGTAAGCACCCCGTTTCATCGTTTATACCGTTCATACAGATAATGCTACAAGATGAGCGGCCAAATCTATACTAAATTATACTGACAATGAATAGGTAGTCCCCGTTCTCCCATTCAGTTTACAAGAACGATCGGGTGTGCCGGAAGAGGAAGGTATGTGAGGAAAATTCAGGACTTGGCCATTCGCTGACTAAAAATAGTGCAATGGTGGACTTCTTTCATATTCGCAGTCTTCGGTGCTGCTATCGTAGTCGGTTCTCCAATTTGTGGATGGCTCGCGGACCATACTGCCGATAGATCTATCACTTATTTTGCTGGCTTATTCATCCTCGCGGCTGCGACTCTACTTTTTGGGTTTGCAAAAAAGGCATGGCTTCTTGTCGTCAGTAGAATGTTCCAAGGATTCTCGGCTGCGATCGTATACACTGTTGGACTCGCTCTATTAGTCGATACTGTTGGAAGTGAGAATATTGGACAGTGGATGGGCACAGCTTTATCATGTTCCAGTGTTGGCCTCATAATTAGTCCTCTACTCGGAGGCATTGTCTATGACAAGGCCGGCTACATGGCCGTGTTTGGTATGGCTGCTGGACTCATCGTTATCGATATCATACTGCGTATGTTTATGATCGAGAAACGGACAGCCGAAAAATACCTAGGCAAAAGTGTCAAAGCGACAACAGTTGAAGGCAACGGAACTTTTCACGCCTCCAATACTGAACACGAGGTTCAAAGTAATACTTCAATGAGTACTGATAGTTGGGAACAATCTCCCAACACTGCGAATTCCACCCCTCCTGGATTTGGCATACCCAATTATGACGAATCTAGCGCTCTCCTTCCAAACAGAAAACGAAACGGAAAACAAGACTCTAAGGGTTGGAGTCTTCCACCAGTCATTACCTTGCTCGGTTCGCCGAGAGTTGGTGCCGCCATCTACGGCATCTTTGTTAACGTTTCTATTCTCGCTACTTTTGATAGTGTTCTCGCCCTTTTCGTCAAAGAAACTTTTCATTGGAGTTCTCTTGCCGCCGGTCTCATATTTCTGTGCATAGCCATCCCTGGACTTGGAGGCCCACTCGTCGGTGCATTATCTGATCGTCTAGGTCCCCGTTGGATCGCTGTTGCTGGATGTACTCTCACAGCAGTGCCATTGATTCTTCTGCGACTCGTCGATAATGATACAGATGAGCAAAAAGTTCTGTTGTGCGTCCTCTTGTTTATCTGCGGTATGAAACATTCAACTTCTATTTTCTCACAATAAATCGTGTTCGCCTACTAATCTGGATCTCTAGGGTGTACTCTTATTCTTATCGTAGCACCTGTTGCCGCCGATTTGTCTCTAGTGGTTGGAGAAATCGAGATAGCAAATCCAGGTAAATTTGGTCCTGGTGGGGCTTATGCTCAGGCGTATGCTCTTTTCAATTGTTCCATGGCAGCCGCTACTATATTTGGTCCAGTTTTCGCCGGTGCGTTGATTACACAATTTGGCTGGAAGGCTATGACTCTAGCTATGGGCATTTTCTCACTAACTGGGGCAATTCCATGTGTAAGTGCATTTCTTTCTCGTTCATTTCAGAAAATCTCACTAATAATACAACAGCTGTTCTTCACTGGAGGCTATCTATTTAAAGAAGAGTAGAAAGTTAGAACTGTGAGCCTTGCATAGACTGAAGATAACGGCCACCCCCTTTGGTGAATATTTGGCATTGTCAATGTGTCGAAAAACTTGATTTATAACTGGAAATTTCGTACCCTTTTCTTTTCAACTCGATTCACCTACAATACGCATCTCTCTGTCGCTTGTTTTCGTTGTTCGTTGCATACATGTATCTAAGTTTTCCTTGAATGTTTAGCTCTGTGCGATTAGCACCAAAAGTATCAAATTGTAATTTCATTATTTAATTAAAAATACGTCTATTGTGCAAACAATGTTGTACCTCATATCCACACTGTCGGTACTTGTGCGAGTATATTAAAGGTTACAGAGTGAGACAGGCAAACATGTGTACTTGTGAAATGTACCCTTAATCTAATATAAAAATTTATTAGAACACAAATGGGAATGTGGCCACGCCATGTCTCATTAACCCTCCTCGTTTCGAACAATCTTTTCTTCACAATACGTCATTTCAGGTGATAGTATTGAGAGATTCAATATACACTAGTAGTTTCAAAATCTGACTTCAGCTACCTACAAATCATTGTAACACGTTTAGCACATGTATGATAAGAACAAGCATTTGAATGACCGAATCAAACATTCTAACAATATCTTGGAGCGTAATTAAGATAAGAGTAGTATAATTAATAAGATATTCAATTCTGCTTTTGACAGACTAAGCTGAACAATACAAGAGAGAAGCATTCCATACCCCATATTTGGTACACAAATTCCTAAAATGCAAAATATCACCACAAATTAAACACAAGGAAAATAACCCACTCAAACATCCATCGACTTCGTTTGTATGCCCACCAACTTTTTCCAGTCTCAATCCTCAAGCACCATCTCACCATCTCACCGTCATCGTCTTTCTAAACCCGTTCCGTACCACTCCGCTCTATTCGTAAAGCTCAATTGACTTTCTTAGCCTTTTCCGCATTCTCTCTCCCCCTCTTGTAAAGTTCCTCTATCTCCTCCGGAGTCTTTCTAGATATCGTTCCCAAAACATGATCCCAGAATGTTGTGTAAACCTGCGAGTAATTTGTCTATTCGTTACAACAATAGTCAGTTTTTATTCTCCAAATCTAACTAAGATCATTTCATCATCGAAGGAATTACAGAAAATGCAATCAGCAACTTACACTAGCACCCCAAGTCTGATGATGGATGTCATGAAACGAAGTATCTTGCTCACCCAACCATTGGATGGGATCCCAAGGGAGTCTGTATCCACAGTGATCATCGACGCCTTTCAGTACGCTGATGATAGAGAAGACTAGAGCCTCACGCATGTGAAGTCCGGAAAAGTAATACGCGACGGTGATCCCACAGGTATCCATGATAAATGATTCGGTAAGAGTATTGTAGAATGCGGCGAATGCATAAGGTGCATTAACGCGGTGGTGTAGGGAGTGAACATTTCCTGACGAAACGAAATGGATTAGCAATTTGAGAAAGTCGCGGAGAGATAACATCATGATACATACGGTATAACCATCTATTTTCATGAAAGGCACGATGTCCAAAATATTGCCATGCGTCGCTAATGAAGATGCAAATCGCAAATCGAGCTGCAGGTGCAAGAAGCCTATATATCACTTGCGCGACAACCACCTCCCATGTAATGATTCTTCCATCCTTTGCAGATATTAGTCTATGTCAACGATGGTAAAACCGAATTAATTGACTTACAGATGTGGTAATATTAACACGAACCGGAAGATGCAACGACCCTTTAGAGTTCGCAAGATCCAATCCCAGACCCATTAAGCTCATCCGCAAGCTCCACTGTATCCAGGAATATGTTTTCACAACCCTCTCCGCCCACACAGCAATATCATAATCCTCTGATCCTACCATCTCTTGAGTTCCAAGAACATAATAGCCTAGGAACAATCCCCATGCTGTCTGGAAGAGCTGCTGTCCGAGGATAGAACGCAGAACTTGGGGGATCGTGACACGATTGCGGCTTTCGAGTTCAGCGGGTGTATGAATACGATAGCTAGACCAGATATCATAATACGAGATGATAGACCAGAAGAGAGCAGTGAGCCAGTATGTTAAAACGGGAAGTAGGAGGGTCAGGTGGAAGTCTGAGATGTAGGAGGACATAGGCGGCCGAGGATAGAGGTGAGGAGATGCCAGCGTGTAGGTGGGGACGAAGGAAGAGGTATTGGTAATTGGAGTATCCATTCTGAGTGAAAGCTATACCAAAGATGTGACAGAAAAGCTTCAACGCTGGAGAGATGTAGTTGAGACTCCAAGAAACTCAAATTGAAATACTATTTTATAGCAGAAACTCTCAGTCAGCCATATCCATGCAGGTTGTTTTTGCTCGGCTGTATTCATAGCACACCCTTGATAAGTGCACTTAACATTGTCCCGATTTGTAGCCATGCATATTTAGATTACTTCGACAAGAGAAAACCACGGTGGCGCTGATTATATGCACTTGTACGATTCAGCTGCATCGACTTATTTGTGGCTGCATTTCTCATCACATTCAAGAATATTGTATACGAATATCAGGGGTTATAAATCGACACGACGATGGAAACGCGGCACACAAATGGTAAAGTTAATTAGGTGTGACAACCTACTATGCCAATGCAAGACGGGGGTCTCTTCCATGCTCAATTGAACGAGTACAGTAGTCTCTTGGTAGAAGTTTGAGATACAAGTTGATGGAAGTCATGAATATTGTGTGCAGTGTGCTCGGTAGTCCGGACTACAGCTCAGTAACCAGCAACCGGGAACTGTTGAATATCGAATATTGAAATTATCTTAACCACTCTATTTTCTCTTTAAATTGAAACACTTTTGACTATTATCTATTTAAGATAACAAATCTATCAGAATGACTGAAAAGTTCTTCAAGAATCAAAATCCGACAAAATTAAATTAAATTGCAGTCTGAAATGCTGGGCGCATTGACTACAAAGAATAGGTAACCCCTCCATATATATTTCCGACACCGAGGCACAAGATGCTTTATCTTCGTTATTAGGTACTCCAAATTTCCTCTACGCCGCTTTCTGGTGCACAATGGTCTCGTCTGTTTCCCTGCGAGCTTTAACTAAGTCGCGAGTTCGAGCGTAGCGCATGTCCGCCCCTGGGGTATCAGTCCACTCGGTCCCAAAGAATTTATCCCAAAATACGGTGTATGTAGAATAGTTATACTAGGGAGACTCGTGTCAGTATCTCTAGAGAAAACAATATTGTCTTAGACCCGAAATTTCGCTGACCTTGAGACCCCAACTCTGATGATGCAAATCGTGAAATGCTGCATTGTTTCCATTGATGTATCCGAAAGGATCCCAAGGAAATACAAAGTTGCAGTGATCACTAATGGTCTTCAACGTCGCTAGCGATGTCACAATCATTCCCTGACGAACTGAAATTCCTGAAATAGCGTTTGCTAAGGTAAAGCTCAATATATCCATGAAAAGAGTTTCGAGCCAATGGGCATACACGGCTCCATAAGCATAAGGAACGTAGAGTTGATGATGCTGAGCATGTACAATCCCTAGAAGAATTTCAATTAGATAAGTTCGAGTGAAAAGAATTTTTCAAAAAGAAGGGCCTGTACATACGATAAAGAGTCTTGTTGATATGACAGAGACGATGTATAAAATAGATCCATGTATCGACAACTGCGAGATACACGAAAAACTGTATCGCTGGAATTGCGAAAGAAACTATGATACGCGCCAAGTTCCATTCCATAGCAGTAAAGGTTGGGCTTGATAATATCTCATGACTGTTTGCCGAAATATGTGACAGCAAAGGTGTTTTGCTAAATTTCGACATAAGTCCTTGAGTATCTAAACCGAGCAGTGTCAAAGCCCAAGGGATGGCCGTGAGACACTTTCTAACCCGTCGCACCCACTGATATGTTTCACAGCCCCCAATTTCCACAAGCTCCGGCCCGTTGTTATAGGTGAGAAGAATTCCTATTACGATCTGTATAACATGATAACGAATAACAACAAGAAGGCAGCCCAACTTTGACACGCGGTTTCGATGAAGTTCCTCTCTCGGTGGGTGGATGCGATAGTTGCTGAACAATTCAAGCTCATTGACAATGTAAAAGACTACGCTCCCAACGATGTAAACCAATGTGGGTAGAATTACACCCAGAGTATGATCAGACATTCCGGATAGCATAGGTGAACGAGGATGTAACGCACAAGATGGCGCTGGGGAAAAGGTTGAAGTGTCTGTGAAATTCGACATTTTAGGCGAATGAATAGTATCAATTGAACATGAACTTTCGAGACTTGAAAGCAGCGGATTGTAGATGAACAAGAGAATGCTCTTCAATGAAAATTTCTGAAGGATGTTGACTTCAAAATAGTAGAAATAGATTTATCAAAAGTTTACAAGTTTTGAGGTTACCCTTTCATCCTCCTAACGCTTTTGGGAAGAAGCTGCATAGGATATATAGTGTAACAAAAGCTGGGATATGAGCTATGGAATTGCTGCACCTGTGAAACACTATAGCAACCATAATTACGAGGCGCTGGAGTGCCAAGACTACGGAATCGAAGAATCATTGAAATTTTAGTAAAGTTTCATGTTCCCCTCTATTCCATATACAATAGAATTTTGATTTTCTATTCATAATGTACTTGATTCATTCTTTTTGGTAATCTAAATTGAAAGGGGTAGTACATTTCGTGTAACTTAACCGAAATACCAAAACAATATCAAAAATCGTTCGATGACACAGCAGACTAAAAATTGAGACTATAATAATGCAATCCCAATTGGGCAGTAATCCTCATCTCGGGGTCCAGCTGCAGATTGACGAAGGTATTGTTGGTATTGGTATTTTCCCGAAGCCACGTTACATCACTCGTGATATTACCAGCTGGAGGTTGATCGCCAAGGACGCTTATCCGGACGACCATGCTGTTCCATGAATATGCAAGATGAGAAAAATGTGATAAGATCGAAGCTGAGATGATGTGCAACGGGACTACCCATGGATATATTTGCGCAACAATCAGGCAATAATGCACAATAAGACAAGACAGTACTGCGAACATCATCGATTTGTGGACAAAAATTAATTATCTATTCATAGATACCCTTCTCAAAAGTTTCCGTATCATAAAACAAAGCTGATATGGTATTCCCGTTAAATATACGCCCCTCGAGCGCATTAACAGCCTGTCTAGATTAGCTACAGTCAATAAAAGGGTGCCAATTGAGTTACGTACCCTCAGAGCTGACAACTGATTGGTGAACTTGACGAAGACTTTTGCTGGGGCACTTTGCCTATCGATATAGACCCGTTCAACCCGTCCATACTGAAGCTTGTTAGTGTGCTGGTTTTCAGCCATTGTCACAATCCAACATACCTTTTCACCACATTCATCCCCAATTTCCTGCATCAGACCCCCATCTCCTGAACCTTCTACTTCCTCATCTAAATCCATATTATCTACCATTCCACGCAGCACTATGACTTCTGACATCGGTCCGAATTTGCCTGTCTCTTCCTCTTTAACAATCTTCTTACCACCAATGATCTTTCCCCTGCCCCCCGCATCTCGAAACCCACCGCCTTCTGCATCGGACTTCTTTTTACGTTTGTCAAGTTTGACCTGAAGAGGTGTAATCATACCAGAGCCATCGGCCCCCAGTCCTGAACCTTTGCTCCAGCCATATTTAGACATTAGACGCTCTGCAAACCCTTTTTGACCCGGGCGAAGTGATTTTGATGCATTTTCATCAGTTTCTTCCTCATCTTCCCTGTCTACTTCGTCTGCAAGAGCTTTATCTAATTCCGCTTCCGAAGCTGGAAGATCACTCGGTGCCGGCGGTAGATTATATCGCACTGGTGCTCTGGAAATAGCCCCTGCTAATGGTGCTGGTGGAGGTAATGGCTGATCTTCGGGGGGTGGAGGAGGTGGATTAGATTCTGCCCCAAGAGTAGGACTATAAGAGTCACTTTGTGGGGACTTGGAACGATTTTTGTAAGAAGAATCAATTGGGGGAGGTGCAAATGAATAATTCGGAGGCGGGGCAAATTGGTCTGAAAATTTTTAGTTCCATGAGAGAAAAAAGCATGAAAAAGAAACACTTACTACCGATCTTCGGACGATATGATTCCTCGTCATTGCTATCACTTGATGTCTTTCGCGCCATTCTATGAGCATAAAGTCTATCCTTCCACTCTCGTACCTCTCGAACCTTCTCATCACTATTCTTATATTCCTCGTAATTGTTTGGCCGTGAGGGATCGTAAATATCGTCCCAATCTTGCGCGACGGCTTGCTCTTCCCTATTCTTCTTTCTTCGTTTCCTACCCCCTCTTTGCCTTTTCTCTCCAACATAAAATCCATTCACATCATCATCGTCAGCGGCCCAATCGGCCAGGGTGCTTTTAGAAGCTGGTTTGGCAGCATTGGATATGGCAGTCTTCGCGACGGCTACATTGCTCGGTTCGTTGGCATTCAGACTGGCAATGGCAGCTTTTGGGAATGATGGTTTTGCTTTTGGCTTTTGAGAAAGCTGTGGTCTTCTCGTGGGTTGAAATCTAAGGGTAGCTATTCAAATATTGAGTGAGCTGTGCAGAAACATGGATTGAATTCAAATCATTCGTAGCATACCAGCATCAATTTGGGGTTTCTTAGAAGCTTCATCTTCCACTGAATTGAAAACAACGGGTCCTTTGGTAATGGAGCCGGGTGTATCACTCGATGATGGATCTAACAAGTTTGCGTAGAGAGAAAGTCCATTCCGTGCAGGTGTCGCATTGGGAGGATTAGACATGTTGATATATCAATCATGCAAAAGGAAAATAATCAAATAGAAAGAAGGTCAAATGTTGAATTCTAGCTGTTTGCGAAACAACCACAGCCTGGCGCATAAGGCTGTACCTTGTAGATATCACCAAAGTCAGGTGACGAGGAGCTTCATTCCGATAAGGGAAGGATGTCGTGGATATAAAGTTAAGGAGAGGCGCGGAACCTTTGCGAGCTCGGAAAGCTTAGAGAGTCTGAGAATGGTTCTCATTAATCTCATACGTGACAATCAAGTTTCTCTTCCATCCTATCTTAAACAAAAGGACGATATTTGATTTGAATAATTGTATAAGTTACCCTATTCGTTAATTCTTCGGATTCCTCAAGTTACATTCTGATCTTGGCTCTATCTCATACCTTGTCCAGTACAACGATTATCGTCGTCTCAACCAACCATCGTCTACGAACCCACGCAGGCCAAGATGTCTGCTGCTACCCTCGCCAATTCCTTCTCCACAGGCAATACTACCACAGCAATTATTGTCCCAGGAAAGCAACCTCTTACCATTACCTATAAACAACTCACCGCCGAGATATCCTCATTTCAAAAGAAGCTCGCCAAGCTTGGTGTTACACCACAAGCTGCAGTATCAATTGCTCTACCAAACACCTATGAATTCATAATTGCCTTCTTAGCAGCAGCATGGCAAAGAGGAATTGCTGCACCTCTCAACTCCGCATACAAGCAGGAGGAATTCGAATTCTATATTGATGATTTGAGCTCCGCGGTTGCTCTTGTTCCCAAAGGTTCGTTTCAGAAAGATGGACCTGCTGTGAGGGCTGCAAGAAAATATAATGCAGCTATTGCAGAATGTTATTGGAATGGCAGAGAGGTTGTGTTGGATGTTAAGGATGAAGGGAAATTGAAGGGAAAAGGAAATCAAAAGGTTGAGCAGGCGCAACCAGATGATGTTGCTTTAGTTTTACATACCAGTGGAACGACGGGAAGACCAAAGGCTGTGCCATTGACACACAGGAACCTCACTACAACTATGAAAAACATACAAGCTACATACAAGCTTACTCCTGCGGATCGTACCATGCTTGTTATGCCCCTCTTCCATGTCCATGGACTTTTAGCGGGTTTCCTAGCTCCATTAATGTCCGGTGGTTCTGTCATCGTTCCCCCTAAGTTCTCTGCCTCCGAATTCTGGAGCGATTTCATTACACACAAAGCAAATTGGTATACTGCTGTTCCAACTATCCATCAAATTCTTTTGAAGAATCCACCACCCACGACCAAACCTAATATTCGATTCATTCGATCATGTTCATCCCCTCTTTCTCCAACCACCTTCCATGCTCTGGAAGAAACATACAACGCTCCTGTCCTTGAAGCCTACGCCATGACAGAAGCCTCCCACCAAATGACATCAAACGCTCTTCCGCCTGGAAAACGTCAACCTGGTTCTGTAGGAATTGGTCAAGGAGTCGAAGTACGAATTCTTGATGGCGAGGGCAAAGAAGTTCCAATTGGTTCCGAAGGAGAAATTTCTATTCGTGGCGAGAATGTCACGAAAGGTTATCTCAATAATGAGAAAGCCAACAAGGAATCGTTCACCAAAGACGGGTTCTTCAGAACTGGCGATCAAGGAAAAATGGATAAAGATAGATATGTGTTTATCACCGGTCGCATCAAGGAACTTATCAATAAAGGAGGCGAGAAGATCTCTCCTATCGAACTAGACAATGTTCTAGCCCGTCACCCTGCCGTTTCCGAAGCTGTCAGCTTTGCTATACCCGATGAAATGTATGGTCAAGATGTTGGTGTTGCTATTGTATTGAAGCCAGATGAAAAATTGACTGCATCGGGGTTGAAGCAATGGGTTGCAGATAAAGTGGCCAAGTTTAAGGTGCCAAAACAGGTATACTTTACGGATGTTATGCCAAAGACAGCGACAGGAAAGATTCAAAGGAGAATAGTAACAGATACTATGCTTAAGCAACCTAAGGCTAAGTTGTAGAGGAAGCGCCTGTCCAATTCGTTTCAGGGAATGATATATTCCCCTATAAATGTACTACAAATTTCATTTTCGTTTATACACATACTTGGGTATTGAGTTTAGAGCATACTTTTCGAGATTTAGAAATGAACAATCTTGCCAAAAGAAATATGCACTCCTCTGATATAGTAGAATGATGAATGGGTAGTTATCTGCCAATGAGTACACTAGAGAACATGTCTTCCTCTACCCATCACATCCCCATCATCTGTTGTAACTGCACGTTACTATAACCCCAAGATTCGTTCTAAGCAAGTCACTTCATATCCATCCATTCATCCATACATCCCACATACCATATCATATCATACACCAAGATCTTGATTCAGATCATGATTTTCCTTGCCGCTTTCATCTTCTACATTCTGCCTTTTATTCTTGATATCACATTGTATCATATACTACAAACCCATTTAATCTAATAATCTAGTGATTAGATTCTATCCACCTATATATCTATCTAATTTATCTATATACCCACCTACTTATCTATCTAATCCACCTACATACCTACATACCTACCTATCCATCTAAATCTCTCACTCACCTATCTAATTGTCTAGCTATCTGCGAATTCGTATATAACCTACTACCTACTAACTACCTACCTAATAACTGACTAACTATCTGATTTTTCCATATTTTCTCCACACTTTCATCTTACCTTACCTCATCCCATTCACCCCATCCACCTCATATCGCTCTCGTTCCATAGCCTCTAACTAACTAAAAATACCACGATCCTCCCTTTCAAATCTTTCACACACACATACCTAACTATAACCCACAATGAAAGTAGGTAGCACAATAGAAATCCTATTTTTCAATTTCATAGACGCTGTATCTCTTTTTGCTCTTCTATAATCTGATCTATCTATAAGAATCTTCATGCACGCTAAAGAAGAAGAAGAAGAAGAAGAAGCCAGACCAAACCCAACCCACCCCACCCAATACATCATCAATCAATCCGAAGGAAGGAAAACACGTTTTTTTTCCCCTCCGCTACCAAACCTATGCACGCAATATACGCTCAATATAACCACTCCACTCCTTATGAACATTATATCTTGATTCCCAATCATCAAGATGTTCCCATGACCCTCTTGACTCTCAACCAAACCTCAAAAGCTTCCAATTTCAACCCCACCCTCACATATCCTAGCCAGGCCACTAACAATCTCAACCCATTAGCCGGCCACCAAAGACTACCCCTCGCTCTGATCTGCTCTAACTGTTCCTCAAAAACCGTTCTCGTGCAATATCTCGCCAGAATCAAGAACGTCCTCACAGGACCCTGTCGCGTATGTAAATTCTCATCTAAACTCCTCGTCAAGTCATTCGTTTTCAATATCAACAAAATAATTCGTGGAACCTGTCCTAACATTTGTACAAGTTGTTGAAGCATTCCTTCACCTAACGCATCATTAATATTTTTCTTCTCTTCTTCTGATCGCTCGAGCGCTACATCTTTTGTTAGGATCGTGTAGTCGCGACCTGTAATAGCCGATGCAAATAGGGGGAATTGTTCATCGGTTACACCAGCCACTTCTTTAGCGTATTTGCGCATGCGGGGTTCGTTAGCGTCAATTACTGCTAGCCAGAGTTTCGCATAAGAGCGACGGAGTTCGAGATGTATATCGCGGTATAGACCATGGTCGTAAAGAATGACGTCAAAATTGGCGCCACGGCGATTGTTGTTTTTGCGAATAGCGAGATTACCCCCATGAGGATCACAATGTAGAGGAGCATTGTTCCCAAAGATCATTTCGTTAAAGATACGGGCGAGGGCAGCGGAGACTTCATCGCGGTCGATACCATTAGAATCCAGAAATTCGAGATCATCCAATCGGTGTCCTGCAACATTCTCCATAACTAATATGCGTTTCTTTGCCCATAAAACATCAGGTATAATCAATGGTAATTCCGGTATCCGTGAGAAGTAATCCTTTGTCCGCAAAGCATTCTTTCCCTCTTCAGTAAAGTCCAGTTCGATTGGCAATGAAATTTCCATTTCCGATGATAACCATTCTAGATCATACTCTGGGAAGAATCTCTTTAACGTCGCGAATGTGAAGCTAGTTAATGCCAGATCGAGAGCCGCCCATTCCGCCAAGTTTGGATGTTGAACCTTCACCGCGACCTTTTGCCCCGTTTCCTTGACAGTAGCTAAATGTACCTGAGCTAAAGATGCTGCCCCTATCGGTAGAGGTGCGAATTCCGAGAAGTAATCTGAAAGTTGTTCGCCAGTATCCATCATAAACATATTCTCTATCGACTCCAAGGATGAAACAGGACATTTATCCTGCAAGGGTATAAATGTAGTCGTCCATTCTAAAGGTAGAAGATAATTCATGGCACTCTGCGAAAACCAATTAGCCGATGCATCATGCATCTAGATATAAATAAATCCCCTACCAAATGTTGCCCGAGTTTTATAAATATACTCCCATTCTTCTCCAAGACTTTCAATGTCCGATCTGCACATCTCTGATGACAATCTTTCAATCTTCTATCCTGTTCGGCCTGATCATCAATCTTCTCATTATGGTTTAACGTAACTCGATAACTGTCGCACCTCGAATTAGCCACTTGTCCCAAACGATCCTACACAATGCTAGAAAACCACTCACTCATTGATACAAACAAACAACGTACTGACCACTCTCCCCGTCCTCTCAACCGCTTCATACGCATGCCTTATATCATCCGTGAAAGCAAGTCCCGTTGCCGCTACGCCCCCGACGGCAGAAGCCATGATAACTTTATTTCCCCTCCCATTCTGCTGATATCCATATCCATATCCATTTCCTCCTCTCTTCCCCGTCGAATATGCCGCATTCTGCACCCAAGATTTCCTAGTCCCTCGCTGTACACATCTCCCACAAGTCCGCGAAATCGATTTCGTACATGGTCTCGCCCTCGCCCACGCCGATGCCGATGCGAAATTAAGTCCCTTCATCTCTCTACCTTGCGTATCGTACACGTAGAACAAATTCCCTTGCGAAACCCACACAAAACTCTCCTTGAGAAATTATCGAACACGATCCATCAATTCATAAAATTCCATTACAAGCCAAAGATTCATAAATAGATACTCAATGCAAAAGTGTTGAGGACTTATCTATCGATTTAGAAAAAAAGTGCTAAAGTCCCTTGTTTAATAATGATCCTTGTCGATCGAACCCCGAAGATCGCATGACGTCCTCTATTTATTTCCCATGTTCAAAAAAACCGTTCGATGATTTGAGTTTATCTATAACACAGCAGTTGCAAGCAAATAAGAAGAGAAATGTGAAATTATTCCAATCCATACAATCAATCTACACAATCAATCCATTTACCATGGCTCCTCGCAAATTCAATTTAAATGGCAAGGTATCAATCATATTCTCCCAATTCCCTTAATCCATTCTCCCTCTCCACTCCATCCCTCCCAGCTCCTTCCCAGCTCCCACTAACAGCCCCTCCTTCTAGACCTTGACTGCTCCTCTAGCAGCCGCAACCATGGCACTACTCCTATTCACATACACCCGCACATCTATCCGCGCAGCTAAGCAAAATGCCCAAAAACATCGCGAAGCAGACGGCGGACAAATCGATTGGGCAAATGAAAGTTTAAGACGACATGGACAATTAGATGCGCCTGTGGAGCAAACCACGGTGAAACAGTTACTAGGAACGGCAAAAGATAATTTGGAGGATTTGAGAAGGAAAGGAAATGCGCCCGAGAGGCATGAAGTGGAAAGGAAGCTGAGAGAAAGAGCGGCGAAGGGGAGAGAAGGCGGTTTTGCTGGGAAAGCAGAGTAATGTCGAATGAAAATAACGATGAAGATGGGAACGGTGTTTAGGTTTATTGAAGTGCACAGCTACTTCACGAGTTCGTCTTTCGAGGTTACATATGGGAGTTCGAGGAGATCTTTACAAAACTGCATATTCAGGTCAAGGTGGAATATTCAACAATCATTTGCCATGATGGCTAATACCATCTATAAGTACAATTCCCCTGTTCACAAAAAGGTATCATTCAGATATGAACGTCTGTAATATCTTCCATAAACACAAAGGCCGCATCATGCTAGCTCGATACCTACTGGCCGAGTGCATGACCGAACGCCCGCAAATTTCAAATGCTTTAAAATGCAAAAATGTTTCCTGGTGTCTTTATTACCTCGAACCTCAGAGGTGTATGCCGTGTTTTTTGGAGGTTTATACATCTTGCCGAGAAGGATGGTCAAATATATGAAACATTTACCAATCTTCTCCCGATTTCCGTAATCCTTCTGCTTTGGCATGATTTAAATGCTTCATAACATACTCATAGGTGAGCATAGTGGTTGTGGCCGCAGGTACTGCTCTCATCATATTCGTACCCATACCTGCATAAAATGCCCTCCATCCTTCTTCGCGTAATATCGTTTTAAATGTCATCACAATGCCCCTATATTTGGGGACCGCTTGTTTGATTTGAGCAAGGGGACTGGAAGCCCCGTGTTGATGGGAGTGTCCTTCTAGACCTCCCCGAAATGCGCCATATTCTGTTGAAGCAGCTGGCATGGATCTTTGTTGAGTTTGAAGTCTTGTTCGAATGACTTCGTGAGGATAGGTGGTAGAGCTGGCTATGACCTTACTGAGCACGCTTGCAGATAATACTCCAAATAGATGAGCACTTTCATCACCTTCTGCTGACTCTCCCATCCCCTTGCCTGTGAACTTCTTCTTGAGATACTCATAAGCTGGGAATTGGACAGCCACATGTGTCAAGCCAAGTAGTGCAGGAGTCAGACCAGAATAAAAGGATAGGAATCCTTCAGTCCTGTACATCACTTTTGCTGCATCTAAAGTTGATCGATAATGCCAAGGTGGTCTGGCTCCGTTATTCTTTGCCTTGCGGCTGACTTGTGACATCAGACGTGTCTTTATTACCCAGATAGGATTGGTAACCATTGTCGATGAAGCTCCAGCAATTATTGAGGACCAAAAATTGACCACTACCGTGTTATCTGTAGAGATTTATTTAGCTTCCATCGTTATTGTTAAGATTTACTCATAATTCATACCGGTATGATGCCCAAAGAACTGTTTTGATCTACCATAGACCGTAAACCAAACTGCCCATGTAGGTAGATAACCAAGGATAATTGGACCAAGGCCTCGATACAATCCTTTCAACCCCTCTTCCCGCCATATCACTCTTCCAGTTCCAAGTAAACCATTATATACCGCTTGTCCCGCAGGTAGTGACCCTAGTCCTTGTGCGGCTCTGAAACCCCCTTGTGCTTGTAGTTTTGTCTTAATAACATCTAGTGGACAAGTGACAACTCCAGAAGTAAAACCACCGACCGCTCCCGCAAATGCATTGAATTCCCATTCCGCCCTTGTTCTAGCTACTCTCTCCAATCTAGTAATAGGTGAATCTCCTCCTCCAAACGTTAAACTCGATGTGAATTGTTGGGTGGTAGGCTGAGAGGACGCAAAATCCTCAGACCCCGATGATGATGGCGTGCTGCGTTCATGTGACATTGTAATTGTTGTTGGCGCAAATATCTAATAGCTTCTGCTACTTCAGCCAGAGGCAGGCAGAAGTGAACCTCGCCGAGAGGAAAGCCGCCGATGGGTTTGGAAGGCCTTCACTGATTGTCGCCGTTCTTTTCTTGCAATCTCGTGTCCCGGTGTGCGGGGAAAGATCCCACGCAGCACGCCAGTGACACAACAGCTAACGGTTATCGCAGGCCATTGACAATCGCCTGAATGTTTGTTGAAGTTTCGTGGATTGTGCGAGCGTCAAAAAGTTGGAAAGGTGGGCTTTTTGGGGTTCTTTGAGGTAAAGTGGGTTGAGAATTTGTGGTTGAGGGAAACACCGGACTTCAAGACCGGCTCAAAATTCTCGGAAGCTTAGATAGATTATTCAATCAATCGCTTGAGGAAAAGGGTCGAACCGCCAAGCCAAAGTAAGAAGTAGGTACAGTTTAAAAGAGAGGATGAGATCTTATGGTTGGGCGTGTGATTTGATTTAGATTGATGATATTTATGATTATGAGAATATCTTGTAGATGTTCTAGATATCACAAGAAGAAAGAGGGTTGTGTGAGAAATGTAGGTAAGTAGGTACACGAGAGACAGAACTACGAGTAGAATATCATAATTCTAATTCAACAAAGTGGGGGAAATCAACCCGCTTGGTTCGAGACAGGGAAAGCTTGATTTTAAAAGGCCTAGGTAGATGAGTGATGGATGATAGGAAGGATATGATAAAGTAGTTACCTGTGTTATGTGTGAACAGTTGGGTCTTGAGTATAATTGGGTTACTGCTACACCTGATATCTAGATGTTTTGTAAGTACCTACTCCTATCCTATCCTACCATTAACTAGGTAGCATTCAATGGCACCACAGCAGCATCTCTACCAGCATCTTATATTGGCCATAATCTAATAAATGCTCAAACCGTGATTGATGCACTGATACATTGATACCGGTACAATGTTGTAATTCTACTCGAGCAGCTAGTCAACGTAGGATAACCACAATTAGACGAATACTTTGCCAGTCATAATGAACATTCTAATTCATACTATGATCAACCCCGGATTGAGAAAAGAAAACCATTACATACACCTCCCAAACAAACCTCCATCTTCAAACAAAGAAAATCATCTCATCCCACATCCACGTGCCTCTTTTCCACATCCACCTCTCCTCTCTCCATACAAACTCATCTCATTGTGAACATTAATCATGCCGATATCTTTCCCCCACCCATTTTATTCCGTTCCGTCACTCATCCCTCCCAACCAATCACAAACTCTTCAAACATCGCTGACTCGCTTACCTAATACACTCATAACTTTTGAACTTCACTCTCAATATACACCACCATAATCGACGTATTCCCCTCTCCCCAATACCACCCCTCCGAATCCACCCATCATGTCTGCACCATCGTTAGCAAGCTGGATTTCCAAGAAGCCCGGACTCTTGAAGATGATGAAGCCTTTGGCCTCATGGTACACCAATGCTGCTGGATACCGTCAGTTGGGATTAAGGTATGCGATATTTTTGATCCGACCCAAGATATGCAATAAAGGAACATGTGTGGGAATTGGAATATGCAAAGCAAAGAAGAGAAAACTAATATGTCACGGAATTACAGAGCTGATGATTTACTCCCCGAGGAATCCGAAGAGGTTCTTCTTGCGCTCAAGCGTTTGCCGCAAAAGGAAGCTTATGATCGTGTTTTCCGTCTGCGAAGAGCTGTTCAGGTACGCATGCCATTGCTTGCTCTAAGCAATTGAGAAAAGACAATTAGATACCTGACTGACAATCCTTAAGTGTTCCGTCCAACATCAACTTTTGCCCAAGGATCAACATACCAAGCCCGAAGACGTGAGTCTCATTCATTTCTTCCAGCACATTGCCTTTCCACGCTCCTTTTAACCAACATATTTTACAGGATTACGCATACCTCTCTCCCATCATTGCCGAGATCGAAGCCGAGGCCAAGGAACGTGCTGATTTGGAATCATTGACTATTACCAAGAAGAACTAGAGAGGAGAGAAGCAGAGGATGCAGATGAGAAGACGCTGGATATGTATATTTTGGGAGGTGGGAAGTCAAATGAAGTGAAGTGCAGGATGAGGTGAGATGAGGAATTCAGAGGATGGGGAATGAAAAGCACCTAGATGAGATGTGATACTCTGTACTTTATAACGATGACCATCAATTCGAAAAACAAAAAATTACTCAACTCTATACCATGGTTGTGTGAAGAGGGGAGATGAGGCGTCGTGCAGCCTATAAATTCGCTGTCTAGATAGATATCTGAGTTGGACTCTGGAGCCAGCCGTGGCGGCACAATGAGAAGACAAGACATCTCGATATGGTGACCAAAAGGAAAAGAAATGTCCAGAAACCCAGACCAAGTCGAAACCTAGAGCATCCCTCCTGAAATCCCAAGAGTCATGACACTAAACTAGAACAAATCTCATTACAAGAGAAAAGCAAGTTCATCTAACCAAATACCAGAATGAATCACAGAACGAATCACAGAACATCAAGTAAGCAAGCAAGCATCAGACCTATCCTCTCCCCCTCTGCAAACCTCCAGTCCTTCAAACCTTTCTACTTTGCCCTGCCCTCTCTTCCTTCTTTTACTTCCACTTCCATAGCCATAGCTAGCCCAATCTCAAAGATCGAGGGTCTTCCTGATCTGATCTTTCCTGTGAGACCAAACACCATCCAACCATCTACAATAATCACACCCACACAAGTATCCCTCAAACGCACCCCAAATCCATCTCCATCCCACCACCAACCCAAATCCAAACCCAAATCCGTAAGTATCACAAATCACAAATCACAAATCATCAATCATCAATCATCACAAGAAGAACCATAAACATAAACACAATCACAGATCCAACCAACACGGAAAAACAAAGACTTCCTCTCATTCACAAACCAGTGTATTTACCTACCTAGGTACCCAGTAAGCTATTCTATCTATTTACACCCTCTACTGTCCTTTCCTTTGCTGATCCTCCTCTCCCAAAACTGTTCATTTCCTCTCAAAACCACCTAACCATCCATTATTCGTAGAAACCTCAATATCCATACCCATAAAAACATTTACAAACCTCACAACCTCTACTCCCTCTCAATCAAATTCACACTTCCAATCTCATTCTCATTCTCATTCTCATTCTCATTCTCATTCTCATTCTCATTCTCATTCTCATTCTCATTCTCATTCTCATTCTATCCCCACCTTCATATTCATCATCTTCCATTTTCATCCAGTGCACTATAGAAGAAATAAGACCATTCATAAACAATTCGCAATTGGGACATTTCTATTACAGTGGTATGCTGCTCTTGCAACCATGCTTGCTAACAAGCCCAAGCCCTTATCTTCATTCGTGAAAAACGATCAAACTCCCGGACCCCCTAGAATGAAAAATGAAAAAAGTTCGGTACAAGAAATCTCGAAGTTTAAAAAAACCCCTTCGAAAGTAGGTTTGAGGGAATCATTTTTCCCCTCCTTTCTGAATGTTGGTTCCTTTTCCGAATCCAATCATACAAAATATTCTCTTTCTGACTGAAAAAAACTCCGTATATGCATTAAGACGTGTCCGAACGAGTTTCTTAATACAGTGACATCTCAAACGTTGTTACCAGGCTTCTCCTCCGTGTCCATGTGCCAGACGACATAGTTGGGCAATCCAATAACTTCATACCCTGCTCTCTTGGCCATTTTTGCGAACCCTTCGGTCTCGGCTTGATTTTCGAATGCGTAGGCGGGGAAGTTAATTCCTGTATATTGGTCAATACTTTGCCCTCTTCAAAATTCCCTGGCACAATTACCTGATCTGTGAACATCTGCCTTGACAATGATGTTGACTCCACCAATACCATCAAGCTTGACTTCCTCATCCTTGTTTTCTCTCCAATTACCCATCAAAGCCATGTAAGTGCGACCAGTATCGAATTCTTTATAACCTGAAGTATTATTAGTATAGTAACACAAAGTTTCTGATATTGCTACATACCCTCGACAATAACCGTGTCTTTGTCAAGCTTTGAGGCAAGCTTAAGAGCTTTATCCGATTCGATCCATGAGTTGTAATCGACTAAAAACAATTAGCATTCATGGCAGAATTCCAAGTGTGGTCTAGACTTACATCGACCCTCAATATCAACCCCATCACGGTATCGATGAAACCAGACATCTGCAAAAGTCAGTGACTGTAATGAATCCTATAAAAGAGAGATATTCATACTTGGTACAATAATATCTCTATCGTGAGCAATGAAGTCCTCAATGATCTTCTCAGGACTATCAACAATGTCTGCATCCCTCCAGTAGACCCATGAATGTTCTGGTTTCAATGCCGCAGATAGGAGATAGTTCCTGGCACGAGCCATGATCTTTCTTCGGGGTGCCTGAGCTGCATATGCATGACGTTCCTCAACGGTCTGACCCGAAACGGCACCAAAGTCCTTTTGAACAATCAAAGCACTATTGAATGCCTCAGTTTCCTTGCCGTCCTGAATTCTGTCGAGTTCTGCAGCAAGTACAGCGAGGGTGTCGTCAGATGAATCGCCAACCAAGAAAGCAAGATCTATCAAATCGTGTGGGTATGACAAGAGTGAGAGTAAATCAAAGTATTTTGGTAAATATGACGCGGCATCTCGGAGAGGGGTCAAGATCAAAATTCGTTCCTTGTTCGCGATTGCTTTTGTAGTAGATCGGATAGGATTGAGGTCGACACTTTTAATGGTGGTAGAATTGACAACAACCGGCTCATGGTGATTAAAGATAACTGGTGTTTGTAAATGCGCGTTCCAGTCGGCCTGTTCATTCAATGTCATCTGCATCGGTGGTTTCGAAGGTCCCCAACAATAATATCTTTAGACACAGCACAAAATCAGCGTTGTTCATCTTCTTTGGCAATTACTGATAAGGCACAAGTGAGGTGCTGGCTTACCTTTGCATCTCTTGGGCTGAAGTACTAATTCCTCTCCATAATAATACAACGACACCAGCTAATGCTACACATAGTAAAAATCGCGTCCTTGTAAGAAATACCCATATCGCTCTCGCAGGCGGTAATTGTGCTTTTGTAGCCTTCCAATTCATGCCACCCTTTGGACCCAACATTGCGAAACCCCTGTGGCTTCAAAACCACCGGTAAGAAAAGTAGATTATATCAATTCGAGATCGCAGAGGTAGAAGTAAAAGCGCCCCGAAATTCCGTTACAAACGATGGTGAAATTGGGAGCTCTTTGACACTAAAATCAGGGAGTTTTGGTAGATCTGAAGAAGTTGAGGAGGTCGCGAGTGGCAGGGAGATCCGTTCAGAGTGGCCTCGAGGTTCCTACACGAATCTAGAAATTATGCCAAGAGTGAATAAGCGAATGAAAAGAGAGGAACTAGACCTTTGTAATATTTATATATTTATTGAATTTTGAGGGGAACTCCACAGAAAGAGAAGTTGGGAAGAGAGAGAGAAGAAGTCTATGATAAGTATTTTCTTTCATATATATGATATATACATACAATCCATTCACTTATATACATTTGTGTTGTTAAAAGTGTTGTGTTATTCACTACCATGACTACCACCCACACCACTGTGTATCGATTAATGCTGGAATTTATTTTACATACACTACCATCTGATTCGTACCCTTATCAAGGTATATTGCTTGTGTTGCGTTTGCCAATGCCCATGCCAATTTTTCCTTTCTGTAGGTATGTATGTCAATCAATGTCCGGACTCGCGAGTTCGCCTCTATCTGGTTCGGATTACCTAGCCAAAAAAGGAGTCATCACGTGAATTTACTATTTTCCAATGAATATGAAACACAGGTATGGTACTTGAGCTTATTACTGTATAATGAGTAGAGTTGGAGTTACCATCTGAAGTCAAGATAAATATCTATTTGTTTGAGTTTAAATATGTGAATGGATATGCAGGTATTCGTCACTCTGAAGTATTGATCAAATCACTAATACCTTGAGATAGTGGAAGTATCTTGCTTACAATTCAGCAATTAGGCTGCACGGAGTTCTGTCGTTGAAAATCATCAATTCATCAATCAAACACTTTTCTCTGCAATCATCAAAACGATTCAAAATGTCTACAAGGCGATCGGCTCGTTTAAGTGCAGCTTCTAATATCACCGAGAAACTACATGAATCTGCGTCTGCTTCTCCCGTGGCGAAAACTACCAAGGCTATCGTTGGAAATGGCCCAGCAGGATCTAAGGTGAAAGCCAGTAGGAAGAGAAAGGCTGTATCTCCAGAGATATCAGATTCTTCACTACCTCCCATAATATTAAGCCCCTCGAAGAAGGAGGCTATATCTCCAGAAGGATCCGAACTTTCTCTGCCTCCCATAAAACCAAAACCCAAAAAGAGGAAAACTGCTTCGAATGAATCATCCGACTCCCTATCCACCAAAAATGCGCTTCTATCAACCCCAAAGAAAAAGAAGACCTCTCCAATTCTTCCGCCTCCAGTGACTCCAACTCCGGCGGCTATCGGATCAATGTCTAGTCCTTATAAAGACGTTGATGACAATATGCCTCCACCTCCTGTTCCCGTTGATCGTCTTGCGGTCCTTAATGGAACAAATGCACCCTTGGTAACACCTGAAACCCATCGACTCCTTGCCAATAAATCTATGGACGAAGTATCTCCATCGAAACCACCTGCAGTAAAAGTATCAACTTCCGATGTTTTGAACAAAGCTATAGAGCACTTGATCAAAGTTGAACCCAAGTTAAAACCAATTATTGAGAAACATCCATGTAAGATGTTTTCCGCTGAGGGGTTAACTGAAGAGATTGAACCATTCAGGGCGTTAGTCAGTGGAATTATATCTCAACAGGTAGGAAGGATCTGAGACACACAACCTTTTCTTTGAATATGCAGACCTGACATCAAATTAGGTCTCCGGTGCAGCAGCCAAATCTATCAAGGCTAAATTTGTAGCTCTTTTTAACCCACCTGATTCAGATCCATCTACTCATACATTTCCTACCCCTACCGCTATTGTAGCTACTGACATAGCTAATCGTGAGCACAATCCTTTACTAATACCTTATCTCCAACCTCGATATTTTCATACTCACATTCATTCAATTTCCTTCCTTTCCCTTTTCTAATCCTCCTTCTCAAATATAGTCCGCACTGCCGGTCTCTCTCAACGAAAAGCCGAATATATCTCCGGCCTCGCCCTCAAATTCACAAATGGTGGCCTAACCACCCCCTTCCTCCTCACCGCCTCCTACGAAGAAGTTTTCGATTCCCTAATCCAAGTACGCGGTCTCGGGAAATGGAGCGTCGAGATGTTTGCCTGTTTTGCTCTCAAGCGCATTGATGTTTTTAGTACCGGAGATTTAGGGGTTCAAAGAGGAATGGCTGCGCTCGTTGGAAGGGATGTTGAAAAATTGAAAAAAGCAGGAAAGGGAGCAAAAGGGGGTGGAAAATGGAAGTATATGTCCGAGAAGGAAATGGAAGAGATGGCTGAGAAGTTTAGTCCTTATAGGTGGGTTGTCTCTCAGGACATGTTTTGTCGTTCTTTTGGAGGGGATCTTCAGCGAGTCTGCCCTCTATCCTATTACCATGCAGATGCGTCACTTTTGTATCTTGATCATGGGTGATGGTTCACTCATCCGAAAATTCAGATGCTATATTTCTCTTCAAGTCACCTCTCGGTTCTACCCCTTCTCTTTGCCCTTGCTACCATTTAGCTCATCCGAAAATTCAGATGCTATATTCCTCTTCAAGTCACCTCTCGGTTCTACCCCTTCTCTTTGCCCTTGCTACCATTTAGCTCATCGAACTTATCTACACAAGTTCTGTCTCTGCTCCTCATCTCGCCTTCATGAATTCCCGAAATTGTTTTTTGAGCTCCATTACAAAAAGCTAACAATAACACTAGAACTATCTTCATGTGGTACATGTGGCGAGTAGAAGATACCGATATCACTACCCTTGAAGAGTATTCTTGATCCTGGAAGATTGTGCATGTATACGACTGGACATGGCAGCATACACTTCTATTCGGAGAGAAAGGAATAGATACAAAGGAACCCGGTGATCTAAAACATGAGGATAAATGAACGGAGATTTTCGAGAAAAGTTAGCTCACGATTCATGGAAATGGGACAACAAGACTCAGGACGCAAAGTCAGGACAAATTGCAAAACACAGTACACAGAAAGGGAATAATGAAATTTTGCAACTCATAATTCATGATCTTTTCGTACACGTACACAAATTGAGGTATACTTTATCATAAACAGCGGTAGATGCTTTCTCACTATTGTAATGTACAATTCCCGCTTCTTAATCTTTTGATCTAGTGTTCAATCAATTATTTTTCACAGAATCATATCCATATCCATATCCATATCCATATCCATATCCATATGCATATGCATCCGTCATTTCTTAATTCTAAAAATATAAACCCCAATGCACCTCCACATCCACCTACACCCCTTCTAGTCTGTTGTGCATCATTATATTATTCCTGTTTCCATCCCCGCCACTACACTTCACTCACCTCCCTCATCTCAGCCCATCCTATCTTTCTTTCATCTCTCATCTTTCAACAAGAATGCTATCACCAACCCAGCTCACCCAGTCAGTCCAGCCCACCAGATAATAATACATAGACACACACCTCAAATGAAATCGTGTCATATCATGGATGGAGGTCAAAACTACATCCATAGTAACCTACCAACATAAACAAACAAACAGAATCACAAACCCCGATACATCGACGCAAGAGACGAGATACTGAACATCTCAAACTAGAGTGTAAAAGATAGGGAAAGTTGTAGTGTAACATACTGCAACGTAACGTAACGAAACGAGACCAGACCAGATGAGATGAGATGAAACGAAACGGTTGTTGTATTTGGTGTTTGACGTATTGATACTTATCTATATACTTGCATAACTAGGTCCTTGATGTTGTGGATGTAGGATGCTAGTATGCTTATATATATGTATGTATATATGTAATGGTATGTGTAGTACGTACTTTGTATACGGAGGTATGTGAGTAAGTATTAGGAACATCAATATCAAGCACTACGAGCAATGTTCTAGAGCGTTGTGGATGGGATCACAAATTTTGTCTGTGTATCTGTTCAGCGTTTTACCTTCAATTCATCCGTCTATATATTTGTCTACCCTTCCTACTGTTATTCAGTTAGGGAGAGAGAGAGAGCGATTTGCTACAACAACTCAACAACCACCTCTTCATCCATCCATTCACAATAGTGATATCAATGCCAACACCATACTTGTCTATATACCAACCAAATCAACTCATTTCAATCCAGCACAACACATAACATATAACATAACATATAATACCTATAAACAGAAAAGAACAGAACAAATTAGAACAATGTATGCACATCGCATGCATATATTCAACGCTCAACCACAATCACAACCACCTGGTATGATATTATATGTCCGCTGTAGCTGTACAGAGGAGACTACATGATTTGACGTGTACATATATACAAATATACATGACATATGATGCATGATATATGATACATATACATATACATACACATATACATATACATATACATATACATATACTTGAGGATGCGGACAGTACATATACAGACAGTACTTGCATACATACTTGCATACATACATATCATCCATCACTTGACGTTCATTTCCAATTCTGCATTCTTATTCCTCATTTCCATTCCCAATTTCCAATCTCAATCGTTCATCCATACATCCATTTATCCAATCATCCACTCAATCACTTGATAATTTCGCAGAATAAGGAAAGAGAGATACTACCCACCTACTTACCCACCTAAATCCAGAGTATGAAAGTACTAGTTACAAGATCTGTATATACCACATCCGATACATATACCACACATATTCCCTATACATACATGCATCCAAGTGACCATCCAAATGACCATCAAAGATCTCCCTCCTACATATTCCTGCATATTCATACATATTCCTGCATACAAACATAACCCTAGATACACAAACATCAAATATGTCGTGTACCCAGGTACCTGTACCTATTCCTGATATTCATCCAACAATCACCGCATTGCTTTACTCTGCCTTGCCTTGCCTTGCCTTGCATCCCATCTCATTCTATTCTATCTAATAGTATAACATAGTATGACAAGAAAAAGAAAGAAAAGATAAGAAATGTACCTGCATCCCAAATCCCTAATAATAAAAAAGATTAAAAAAACTCCAATCGGCCAGCCGACGAGCCGACCAACAGACAGTCAGTCATGGACTGGACTGGACTAAACTCCATAAACTCAAATCTCGACTCTCGAGCAAGGCAAAGGTGAAGCTGACAGACACACTCGGCGAAATAATTGAAAATGCATAGTACAAATTGTAAACAAATTCAATCTCGATAATTTTCAATAAAATAAGCTGGAATTGATATATATTCAATTAATATAATAATTAAATTATATTAAAGTTTCTGAAGAATAGAAATTGAAATGATTCAAATAAAAGCAATTGAAATTATGAAATTAATTTGAAACATGCTTATTTTATAATATCTTTATAATCTTTATTAATTCAATCAATTTGATGTCTATAATATTAAAACTTAGATATATTATTGAATAAATACTCTCTTTTTAAATAAATATAATTTATAAAGATTTAATTATAATTAAGAAAATTATTTATATTTGAAAAAGTAAATCGCTTATTTTAGAGATTTTAAACATAAAAAATCGAAAATTCAAACCTCTTTTTAATTTTAATCGTTAATAACTTTCTAAAAATAAGAAATAATAAAAAATGCTTTTCTCAAATCAAACTTTACTTAATTTTAAATAGTATTTAAAAGTTTTATAATATATAAATAAAAGTTGATAAAGATGTATAGAATCTAAAAGATAATATTAAATTATACTTATTTTTTATAAATTAAATAACTTTGATAAATTACTTCTCTTTCATTTTCAGTTTAAATCTTATAAACCTTTTTTTCTATATATATTATATATAAAAGAATTATTCTATTAAGTTTTATATAGTTTGATTGAAATTTATAGAATTTATAGCTAATTCTAATATATAAGAGTTATCGAACTTACTTATACACCTTATAAATTTTTATAATAAAATCCCCATAAAAATAATGTTTTTCTATACAAATTAAAAAAATTAATAACTTTTTCAATTTAAGGAATTTTATTTTCAAAGCTTTAGAATAAGTATTTAATATTATTCTTTATTGAAAAAAAACATATACTTTATTTTTAATTATTTTTGTATATTAATTATATAGATTTGAAGTTGGAAAAATTGAATTTTTTTAACTTGTAATGCTTTTCCTATATAGAATAAGCGATTTTTTTAGAAAATTTATGATTTTTATTTTCAATAGCTTATAACTTTATAAATAAAATATTTAAAAATAAACTAGCTTTTTTATATATAATTAAATTAATTCTAAATCGATTTTGAATTATTTTAATCATTTTATATGAAGTTTTAATAAAGAAACAGGGGTCTTAAAAGCTGGAAAATTAATGGTTTTAGCGGAGAAATCGAATCTGTACGATGAGAAGGTTTAAGAACTCTTACTATACATCTTTAATTATTTTATTAAGTAAATACTATTTATTTATTTATTTATATATTTATATATCTATTTATTTATTTACCTATTTATTTTATATTATAACTTATTTTATTTTCCTATAAAGTATAAAGTATAGAGATTTCTATTCATACTTTATTCTAAGAATGAATATAATATTTAAATAAATAAATAAATAAATAAATAAATAAATAAATATAAACTTATTTTTTTTAAAAAAATAATATTTATAATAAAGATTTATAAATAAATTAAATTAAATAAAAATTCATAAATTTATATATAAATTAAACTCTATTAATTAATTGAGTAAGTATTTTATCTCAAATTTCATTTAAAATTCAAAATCTAGATTTATAATTTTCTTCTTTTTCATTTTAGAAAACTTGTTATTTAAATCTTGAAAGTTAGTTTGAATATCAATTCCGATTAAAATTTATTAAATTTTCCCTTTTTTTTATAGTAGATTTATAATAGATTTCGCTATAGTAATTTTCCGTTTTAAAAAAGATAGATTTTTTATATTAATTCTATTATAAAATTTCTTAAAATAAAGTATATATACACTCTTTTAAATAGAGAAATTCGAATTTTCAACTTATTCTTATAAATAAATAAATAAATGGCTTTATTTAATTTAAATTAAATCTAAATTTTAATTTAAGAAAATACTTAAGAGTTTAGATTATACTTATTAAAGTTTTAAATTATATTTATTAAATTTTTAGATTTTAAAAGTCTATAATAGTTTATAAATTTATGAATTTTTTGAAATATTAATGTTGAGATCACTTGGGGGGGGAGTCGTCAACTCGAATCATTATATATAGTATTATATAGCCTATATAAAATGAATAATATAAAATTAAGATGATCTAAAATAAGATATGATTCTTCCTACTATATATATAATAGAAAGAATCATATGATTTGCTTAAGTATATAATTATATATTCCGATATAAGTAGAATTTTCATTTATAATGAAAATTCGAAACGTGTAATATAAAGAGCGAATTGTATTAGCTAAATCCTTTAAATTCTAAAATCAATTTGAACTAAAGATTATTCCTTCTCCTTCATTCTACAATCAAGTTAAAAAGGGCGGGGAAAGAATAAATCGAATTGAAAGTTGTATATAAGTAGGGAATAGTCTTATTCACTAAAATAAAATAATTAAAGAAGGAGATATTGAATCGATTCAATCGGATAGAGTATTCGTATTTAATTGAATTTGAAAGAATTAATAGTGGGGGGATTCAATTATTATATAAGAATGAATAGAAGTAAGTTATTCTTCTACTCCTTTATAAAACTTGAAATATGAATAATTAAATTCTTTTTAGTAAGAGAATAGTAATTTAAAGCTTATAAGACTTTAATTTTAGTGTATTCTTTTAAGAATATAAATAGAAATCAAATTCATATAGAATTTTAAAGCTATTTCATTAAATAGCTATTCGTATTATAATAAGCTTTTCAATTTTATAATCTTTTTCCTTTACCCTTTCGAATCAAACGGATTAAATTTATTGAAAATAGTAGACAGGCTTTTTTCTAACTTAACAATTGTATAAAAAAGGGTGTTTCATATTATAGGGTAAAGGAGAAGGGTATAATAAAAGGTTCCTAATGGAAAAGGGGTGGCGAAACGGTTCTTTTCGTTTGAAGACGAAGGGGTTTCGAATTCAAAAAAGTATATAGAATTTTGAGCAGGATGTAGTAAATGCGGA